AGTTCACTTTAAAAGCTTTGCAGTGGTCCAAAGTTATTTCTCACTTACCTTATGCATTCTAGGCATCCCAGTATTTCACTATGATGTGTTTAAAAGTGTTTTTCAGTTTCCCAACTTACAGAGGCCAGAGCGAAGTTTTACTGTGACGGTAAAGCTAGAAACAGTTACAGCGCACTTCCTGATTATTGTACAATAAAATGCTTTATAAATAGATGTGGACAGACAGCACAGCAGACTTACTTTGACCTCAAGAGCTGCTTATACTATATATCTGTGTTGGGACAAATGTTCTGCTCATACATTAAAAACATTAGGAAACAGGGCCTTTAACTGTGAGCTTTTTCTCTATGCACATTACAGGCAAAAACTTACCATACTTTGCAAATATATATAGCTATATATTAAAGCAAAACTATAACATTTCTATGAAGACAAGCAGGTAGCAGGCTGGTGCCATCTAGTGCCTCCACTCAGTTTCATTTCTCTCCAGCGACTAGGTCAGGAATTGGAATACACCAGATGATTTGCAAAAACTCCGGAAGTACGAGTTCGGGCACCAGCTAGTCAGTGAAGAGCCATACGATTCCTGATCAAGGATTTAAAACCGGAACAAAGAGAATTTTTGGTGAATTTTATCAAGGAGAAAGACGTTATTGCATTGGTCCATTGGTACCCGCCTACCGTTGAGCTAATGAATCCTAATGCTGCGAGGTCATGCAGCCGGATTCCACAAATGAAACTGGCTGATGTGCTAAGGTAGCAGACCCTCCAGCTGAAAGTTACACAGCGCACCTTTAAAGAAATATACTATGTCGAGGAAGATTGACAATTGCACCTACAGAGACTTTTACACAGGACAGCCTACACACATACTTAATATGCTTTGTTTTAACCGTGCTAGAACACTGCAGAGCCACCTCTCTCTCTCTCACACTTTAACTCTTGTCCTCTGAGAATGAACATGTACTGCCCTGCTCCATTGACTCGTTATTGATTGCAGTTAGCAGGTCAATCCGAGGCTTTAGCTTATCGAGGGTAGAGTTTGAAGCTGCCTCTTCAGCAAATGAATAATGTAATGAAATGGTAATGGCCTCGGTCTTGTCCTCTGGCTCCCCTGTGCTCTTTCTTTGGTTTTCTTTGTAGCTGAATCTCGCTTTGGGAGTATCACGTGTGGTCTGGAGCAGCAGGTGAAGGGAGTGGTTCTTAAGTAAACAGGCTATCTGTGTTATCAAGCAACGGTCAGTCCAAAAGACAAACACAAGTACTATTATCTTCTAACATATTGGTTTTTCAAAGGTGAACCGCACTACTGCTGTCAAAGTCCTGTGCTTTTCTATTGTTTATGAACAAAGAGATGTGTCAGTGTATAAAACTCAAAGGGGCCTATATTACACTATTTTCTGATAGAAGCTACAATATTCCTGGAGTTTTGTTTTGTTTCATTCGCACATTTAACACAAACTCTGCACATTTAGGCAGAGTTCTTCTCTGAAACTGAAAACACTGTTCCACCTTGTGACGTCATGTGATAATACAGAAAGTGCACTGCTTTGTTTTTAAACTCCTTACACCTTCATTAGAATCATTTGGATAATTTCAGCCCTGGAATTGATAATCTCAACTGAACAAAAGGTAAAAAGAGCTGTTAACTTGAAAACTACCACTACATGACATCACAAGGTGGAAGAGAGCATTTCGAGTTTTTGACATGTAGATGGACTAATAAGGGTTGTTCAAACATAGGTGAATGAAACAAAACACAACTCCAGATATGTTTTTTCAGGAGGTAACAACATTATAACATGAATTAAAGCTTGAGTCAATTTTGCGTATTACAAGACCTTAATATAATTTGTTATAAAACAGACACTGCAAATCTATTCACAACATGTACATATTACAGAGATCACGTGATTAAATATTTCTCCAAAGCGGTGTTACCCCAATCTCTTTTAAGATACAACTGCTGTCCTTGTTTAACAACTAAAATGACCTCTCATACACCCTTAGTTCATTGAAACCTGTGGTGACGTGTTGAATTGGTCGTCTGAAAACGTTAATTTTGTCTTATTTTGTACATTAACTTCTTGGGTATTTACTCTTCAATATGCATGTCACTGTACGATATATATTGTGATGTTTTGTGGAACCTAACAAAATTGAATTGAATATGCTGCTTTTTTTTTTTTAATGCCTTGACAAGACTGGTTCTGTCATAATCCAAAGAACAAATATTTAAAAGTGCTTAATCATAGTTCTTCATGTAGTCTGCACTGAAACAGAGCAAAGGATTATGGTCTGTGTGGGTCCCTTTATTTTGCTGTTGCACCATAACAATGAATTTAAGCAAAGAGACTTGTGATTTGATATATTATGATTTTGATATTTTGGTTATTGTTACATCCCTAGTAAATTTATCTCATACTTATCTTTCAAAAGCCAAAATATAAATGTTGAATTGGTCATCTGAAATCGTGTGTGGAGCCACTGTCGTCACTCCATCTGTCTGCATGGCTCAGTCTGACGAGGCTCAAACAGATGGAGGCCTCACATAAACCCACACTATTACGACACCAACTCTACAACACTGTAACATATGTTTGAGCATCTCTGGATCGGTTTTGTTTACTTGTGACCGTGTTGTTTTGGATGTCTTATTGTCATTCATCTTTTTCCAATTATGTAGGGCTGATAGTGGAAATAGACTGTCAGATAGAAAACGGTTCAGTCTGATTTGATTAGTTTAGATTCAGCTGTTTTTGTAGAGAAGTAAAAAAATGTAAATGTTACTGGATGGTGGTAACTAGGGATGGGCATTCGATGAAATTTTCTTAATCGATCGTCGGAAGAATTAACGATCGATTATCGATTAATCATTAATGTTTTTATATTAAAATGATCATCATTATTATTACTATCTGCACTCCTAATCTGCATAAATAAATTCAACTTTACGACATATAAACCGTAACGACTTTAAAGCCACATCATTCCGTTTGAGATTATAATGTGTTTAATTCAGTTTTGTGCAAGTCTCACAGAAACGAAACTTAAAACCGCATCGCTAATTTGTATAAACTACAGCTCTTGTGTCGCTGATGCGGTCAATTTCTGTCGGATTAAAAGACATGACTCAATGGAATACAGGTTAGTGTGACCATATTTGCGTTTGTTAAAACCAGGACACCGTACGGGGGGAGGGACGTGGGGACGCGTCATCGACATTGCGCGACTCTCACCTGGCAAAACTTTTTCCCACTGGACACCGAAACATATATGCTGCTTTATGCACTGTGCACATGGCCTCACACTTGTCCCGAATGCAACGGAAAGCGTGGAATTTCTTGTACAACTCATCGTTAAATACGCATTTGCGCTTGGTATGCTGCAGACTGACCGACTGTTTGTGTTTGCTCGCTCCTTCTGAGTGCAGAGAGCTACATGTACAGACCCCTGTTTGGTCACGCTACGCACAGCAACCTACATTCGGTTTGTCGATTAAAATGATAAAAAATTAATAAAAATAATCATGCCCATCCCTAGTGGTAACAAAAAAATGAAAACACATATCTAAGGTTACGTTTACACCGAAACAAATCACTGTATCACCGTATCACCGTATCACTGTATCACTGTATCGGAAATGATTTGCGTTCAGACGTCGTTTCTGTGCACGGACACCTTCCCTATCCACACAGCTTTGCACACATTTGTTTACGTTTTACAGAAACAAAACTTAAAACCACATGGGTAATTTGCATAAACTAAGCGCCCAAAAATGGCTCTCTCCTTGTGCCTTGACACGGTTCAGCTTCTGTCGGACTTAAAAAGGACATGACTCAGTAGAATATGAGTGTTCTTTCTGTGACACAGAGGTGTTCTGGTCATGATGAGTCTGTTCTGTGCAAGTAGTTTTAGCTATGCTGTTTCCCTTTTGTCCATTGTTTATTTAAACTGTTTTCCACAATAGCGTCACATGACCAATGTCACGAACCCAGTGAATCAGGAAGGCGTAAGTCACAGCGACGTGGTCCAATAAGGACGCAGCTAGAACTGTGCTAGATCAGATCTGTACTCAAATGAGTTCATGGAAGCTGGCAGCACCAGATTGTTCCGTCTCTGAAGCCGTTTTCCATCGCATTAGTGTGGACGAAAACTGGATCTGCCAACGAAAACAACTCGAATACGTACTAGTGTGGACAGGGCCTGAAAGCTTTGGTTATTAGTTTGTTTTTTGTTTTGTTTTGTTTTGTTTTTTTAACTGGGACCAAGCATTAAAAGTGCACTATGTAACTTTTTGGTTGGGGGTCTGCCACCTGCTTGTTTGTCATTGCCCTGCCTGAAATGTTCCGCATTATGATATTAATCAGCACTACTTTACATTTATTCAATTACAGGTGGTTTTATAGCTCAAATACCTAGAAATCCAGACATTCTGACTGTGGTTGCCTCTCCACAGATCTGACCTGTAACTTGGTCCAGTTTGGTCTCCATGAAGATTGAATGGTTTAATGCCATACTGTGAAACATTCCAGACAAAGTAATAACATCTCCATGGAGAAAAGCATTTGACAGACCCCCTACCAGAAAAGTTACACAATGCATCTTTAACATTAATCATCTGTATACCAGATTTAGACAAAGCTAAACTGAAACTTGAATGTTGCTAATGACAACACAAATTAAATTAATCTAATTTATTGTAAGGGCTCTACCCTCTTTCAGAATGTATATTATTACTTCAGTATTAGTTATTTTATTTGGCCATGTAATATAATCAACAGTCACATTTTACTTCTCTCTTGATTCTGTTTTGGGCCCACTCTGTTGTTGACATGGAAAACCCCTTCCTCTCTCAGCATACGTTTCGGTGGCACCATGAGTCAGACTTTCCTCCTTCTCTCTGCCTTTATAAACAGTCTTCAGTCATTTCAGGATTTCCAACTCTGCTGTTTTTTCTGCTGATTCAAACCCTCATTTGAACCTTTATTTCCCATCAGCCCACAGGAGCAGAGGCAGACTGAGGGCTTATTTACACCGACTGAGGCTCCATGCTTTTGAATAAGACCATCTGGGACCTCAAGACTGGGCATCCGTAACAGGTAGGCTAAAACTCCAGCAGATCCAGTTTTAAAGGTGCATTGTGTAACTTTTCTGGTGGAGGGTCCATTATCTGCTTGTTTCTATGGATATGTCATTGCTCTGCCTGGAATGTTCCACAGTATGACATTAAACCTTACGCTTATTCAATTACAGGTGGTATAAATCTGACCAGTAATTTGATCTGGTTTGGTCTCCATGAAGATAGAAAGGTTTAATGCCACACTGAAACATTCCAAACAAAGCAATAACATGTCCATGGAGAAGAGCATTGGACGGACCCTCCCCACAAAAAGTGACACCATTCACCTTTAATATTTAAAGGAACAGATGACGTGCAACTTTCTGGAGTTGGCACGTCACCTTCACGGTTCCATGGAAATAGAAAGTTAAAACCATACTGTGGGACATTCTCCATGGAAATAGATTAAGTTAGATTAGTCATGTTGTGGAAGATTACAGCCAAAGGAACAACATTTCCTTGGAAGCGGGCAGAAAGAGGCCCTCTTTCAGGCCGTTTATGAGTCAGGTTTGTGAAAATGCAAGCCCTCTTAGAGTTAGGGATATCGATATGATACATTTGTGTAATAAAACAATTTACTGAACAATGTTGGCCCAAATGTTGGCTCAGTAGTGTTCTGTGATTACTTAAAATGATAAATAACAGTTACAAAACAGATTTGGATATATATTTTTTTAACTATACGCCACTTGTGTTTAAAGGAGAAAATAAATATGTTCAGTGGCTGCCCTAGGTTAATATGATACTTATAGCAAAAGTATCGGCATTGTTATTTGAACAGAAATAGCTGGATCGGTGCATCCCAATACTCCAATCAAGTTTTTCAGTGTAATAAAAACAACCAAACTGAATAAAACATGCTTTTGTTTTAGTCTATTTTTGGGGGGCTTTAAAGAACAATGTTTCCGCATTTCCTCTGAGTTGTATTATAATTGATTCATGCATGTTTCAATCATCATGTATTGTCCTTGAGGCTTGAGTGTTCAGAAGTTTACTTACTGTGAATGGGAGTCTTTTAGTGTTTAGTTTTTGTACTAGTTTTAGTATCGATTAGTATTTGATTTTCAGTACTTGACAACCCTAGTTACAAGTTAATACTAAATACCTGAAAGTAATAATATATCTTCTTTAATTTAATTCCCACCACAGCCTAATCAATTACTATGATGACGCTGAATAAGAGAGTTAATTTGGCTGTGCCCTTGTTCCGTTGTAGCAGCACAGATGGGTGTTATTGATTCATTGATCCAAGTACACAGACACTGCTGTTGCTGGTAATGATACAGTTTCTCTTGGTTGACCTTTTGAACTAGTCTTAACTCTTTTTGAATCAGACACAAAAACCTTGCGCTGTCCAAAGTTATTCCTCACTTACCTTATGCATTCAGATCATCCTAATTATTCACCACGACGAGTTTCTAAGAGCATTTCACAACATTGAAGAGACAAGAGCGGAGTTTACCATGACTGTAAAGCTGGCAACAATTAGCATTCTAACAGCGCACTTCCTGATTATCGGTGTTTTATAATTAAATGCAGACAGAGCACAGCTGTTTTTTTTAGCTGCTTATAGATCTATACTGGGTTACTCTTTAACAATAAATTGAGAAAATGCTTCGGGTTCTGACCTGGTTGTCCGGAAGAATAGTGAAATTTTCTAAAACTAAAACTGGCCCAGCGTACCTTACATTTCTAGGTCAGTGGTTCTCAAATGTTCTGAATTCAGGAGCCATTTTTATTCTGACCAACTTTTAGAATTGAACTTTTAACAAAAAATAATTTGACCTTGTATCTTCAGTTCTGTTCTTTTGATCGTACCCAGATCTAGGTCTGTTTTTATACAGCTACTATAAACAATTCTATAAATTATTATATTTTAAACTATAAAATACACACATTTACCTACATTCTAAATTTAAGGCTATACTGTAGTTACTTAAAGATGCACTATGTAACTTTTCTGGTGAGGGGACCACTACATGTTGGTTTCCATTTGAGATGTTATTACTTTATTTGCTTACACATTTTTGTATTTTTCTAAACTACATTTAAATTCATGTAGTGTGTGTAGTGTGATCATGCTTGCCTCTCCACAAATATGACTGGCCCGCTTGTCTCCATGGAGATGAAGTTAATGCCAACCGTGGAACATTACAGGCAGAGCAATAATATCTCCATGAGACGAGCAGATGGCAAATCCTCCACTAGAAATATTACTTAGTGCTAGGGATGGGCATGATTAATCGATTAATCGATAATTGATCATTAAGAATTTCATCGATTACGTTAATTTTAATCGACAAACCGAGTGTAGGTTGCTGTGCGTAGCGTGACCAAACAGGGGTCCATATATGTAGCTCTCTGCATCAGAAGAAGCGAGCAAACACAAACATTCGGTCAGTCTGCAGGGAACCGAAGCACAAATGCGTATTTAACGATGAGTTGTACAAGAAATTCCACGCTTTCCGTTGCGTTCGGGAGTCCATGTGCACAGTGTATAAAGCAGGAACATATGTTTCGGTGTCCAGTGGGAAAAAGCTTTACCAGGTGAGAGTCGCGCAATGTCGATGACGAGGAACCACCTCCCACCTCCCGTACGGTGTCCTGGTTTTGACAAACGCAAATATGGTCACACTAACCTGTATTCCACTGAATCATGTATTTTAATCCAACAGAAATTGAACCGCATCAGCGCACAAGAGCTGTAGTTTTATCTTCGCTGAGTTTATGCAAATTAGCGATGCGGTTTTAAGTTTTGTTTCTGTGAGAGTTGCGCAAAACTGAATTAAACACATTATAATGTCAAACGGATTGATGTGGCTCTAGAGTCGTTACGGTTTATATGTCGTAAAGTTGAATTTATTTATGCAGATTAGTAGTGCAGATAGTAATAATAATGATGATAATTTTAATATAATAACGTTAATGATTATTCGATAATCGATCGTTAATTCTTCCGACGATCGATTAAGAAAATTTCATCGAATGCCCATCCCTACTTAGTGCGCCTTTTAAAGCTTTAACATATTTTTCTCATCAAGCTATATAAATCCACTATAACGTCTCATTTGCTTGCTTGGTTGTATTTATTTTTTGAGGATGTTGACACAATCCTGCTGCGTGAGAGTTAGCAGATCTTAATCACAGACTCGGTTTTGCTGTAATTCCCGAGCTGGAGGCGTAACCCTAATCTCTCTGGCACGTTACATTGAACCAGACTGTGGCTAAGTCAGACCTCACCCGGCCATGTTTCTGGATTTATGAGACAACAATAATAAACTATAATCAAGACTGTCCCTACTTTTGTGTTTGTTGTGTGTCAGTGTTGTACTATTACGGCTTAGTGTTAATGCGTAGGTTGGGTTCACGTGATGTCATAATGTGTTAAAATGACAGTACAGACATTTGAGTTAGAGGCCAGGTCAGTTTCTATTCATGATTTTGCCTTCAATTGTCAAAATGCAGATGCTTTAACGTGGTTTGTGGTTAATATCTGTGTCATTTTTAAGTTTATCTTCCATTCATCAGCCGGTTTCACTTTGTGGAAACCGTCTGACCTCGCAGCATTAGGATTCGTTCGCTTGACGGTAGACGGGTATTTTAATTTAACCAATCACTGCTATTTGGTCGTGACGTATGTAATGCGCCGCTAATGGGGCTAATTGGGGCTAATTGGGGCTTTTCCCAAATCCTGTATGAAGAAGGGCAATAATGTCTTTCCCCTTGATAAAATTCACCAAACATTCTCTTTGTTCCAGCTTTAAATCCTCGATCTCAGGAATCGTTGCCAACACAGAATGTATGGCTCTTCGTTGATTGGCTGGTGCCCAGACTCGCACTTCCGGGGTTCTTGCAAACCATCTAGTGTATTTTGATTCCTGACCTAGTCACTGGAGAGAAATGAAATTGAGTGGAGGCACTAGGTGGCGCCAGCCTGGCTAGTAGTCAATGGCAGTGTCAATCTAAAACTATAAACTAAACTGTAAAAATGTGGTGGCATTATTCTCACAAGACTTTTCATTTCCCTTTGCTCACACCACATAAAAACTGGGACTAAAGTAGGACTAAAACTGGAGCTAAACCAGGATTTAAAGGTCTTATATTACACAAAAAACTGACTTGTGTGAGCTTTAAGCAATGTTGTTACCTCATCAAAAACAAACCTGGAGTTGTGTTTTGTTTCAGTCACACATATTTTAGTAACCCTTTATTATTAGTCTATATTTCCAAAGCTCAAAATACTCTGTTCCACTTTGTGTAGTCAACAGATACTATTTTACCTTTTGTTCATTAGAGATGAGAGACAATTCCAGGGCTGAAATTATCCAAAAGATTCCAGTGAAGGTGTATGGAGTTTAAAAACACAGTGGAGCTCTTCCTATATTCCTGTAGTGTGCAGGGTTTGTGTCATAAAGACGTGTAAATGAAACATAACACAGCTCAGGTATGTTTTGATGGGAGGAGGAAAGGTTTAATAGCGTAATATGGACCCTTTAAACAAACAAATGCCAACATTAACATCTGTTTTGGTTGTTCCGTTCAAAAAGCCTGGTCTGCATCTAAAATTATCTAAATTAAAGTCTATAATGTCATGAACACAACCTATTTGAGGTGCTTTTTGGATTGCTTTGTGCCACGGGGGAGTATTTTGGAAGTAATAGGTCTAAAGGGGAAGATGAGGGAGGCTGGTTTTAGCTGCGTCGTCCAATGGGAGTGATATCTGGTCTCGAGGCAGCCTGGACACTGATAGATGGCCCAGCTTTCTCTTTCGTCCTGGTCCCCGGATGTGCCCTGTTGTTCCAAAATTTATAAAGAAGAAAGTTGGCGAAGAACTGGTTTACCACAGTTAAGATGGATGACAACCCCGGACTACATTTGGAGAAGGGTCAGGAACTTTTTAGAGGAATTGGCCAAAAAAGGACTCAAGCACTTTCTTTTGACTTTCAAATAAATTGTTGATCAAGACTAATGTCAGTGTTT